ATATGTATGTGTGTGCAACCACTATGCCTGTGTTGTGCATGTAGAAGGTACTGGACATACCTCAAGTTTTTTTTTACAGTATGCATATTTAAAATAATTGCAGTCATTGAAATTCAGAACAGATGTTCGAAAGATGTTGGTCCACCAATGAAATAATGGGTAAAAAATCAAAATGGTACAGGGGGAAAAAAGTATGAAATCCGTTTAAATAAATGTTTAAGCACTTGAAGCACAAGAGGCACTTTGCATGTCTCTTTTACAGTGAAATTATTCCCATGCTATGATCATAATGTCTTCAAATCTGGAAAATGTAGGATGTTTTTTTTCTGTACACTCTGATCTTCACTTCTTTTGGTAATTTTAAGTATAAAGTTGGGCCTTTTATTTATTTTTACTGTTTTTTTTTTGTGTTTGTTTTGTCTGAAACCAGTTATGACTTGCCTTGGTTCTGTGTTAAGGAATATTCTCCTTCCTGAAAATCCACTCATCTCATTCTCAGATTCTTATCAAGAATGTCTGCACATTTCTTCAGTCATGTGAAGCATGCACCTATCCACATTAACAGAGTAAACTGTTTCATAGTCATAGGAAACAAAGACTAGTGTTTTTGGAGGACTCAATGTGAGGCTTTTCATTCCAGAAGACTGTATCAGCTCTTCAGCATGGTGGTGGCAACATCATGCAGAGGATGGATTTTAGCCCCAGTAAGGTCTATTCCCCCAATGAAGGTGGAATAATGAAAAACTACCAACAAGTCCCTAATCTTCACTTCATCCAGTTGGTTAAAACTTAATGAAAAATGGATTTCTGAACAGGACAGCTATTGAGAACAAAGCATGGAGATAAAGCAGGCAGATACAAGTTTGGGTAATGGCGAATATTTTGACCCTACTGAAAAATGTGTGGGCATTTTGTAAAATCGCATCCATGCCTGGAACCAAACTAATTTAAAAAACAAAATTGTTAATGGACAAGTTAATCCAATTGTTTGTTATACAATCATTATACTCTAGAGCAGGGGTGTCAAAGTGGTTCCAGAAAGGGTCGTGGGACTGCAGGTTTTCTTTCCAACCAAGGAATAGCACACCAGACTCCAGTCATCTCATCAAGTCATCATGTTCAGAATGGACTCACTTGATGAGATGACTGGAGTCTGGTGTGCTATTCCTTGGTTGGAAAGAAAACCTGCAGCCACACGACCCTTTCTGGAACCACTTTGACACCTGTGCTCTAGAGAGAGCTCACTTGAAATAAATATACGACCCACATTAAAATGATGAACTGTTGCAGTAAAGACTTTCTGTTTCTGTGGCATCCTGTCTTCTGTCCTGTCCTCGCCTTTCATTTCATGTCTCTGCCCCTTCTCATTTTATTTCCGTCGTGTTTGTGGCGTTGGGTCAGCTGTTGTGCATGGCGTTAAGGCTGCAGTTGTGTCAGGTGCCAGTGCTGAAACATTGTGCGGTGAGCATGCTTTGATTCGCAGTTATTCTGCAACTTTCCAGACTGTTCTTTGTTTTACTCATAATACCCAACAGCACACAGAGTGCTGATTTCATCCATGCACAGAAAAGGTCAAACATGCAGAAGGAATGGGGACACAATGATGTCTATTAAGAGAGAACACACTACTGCCAATTGAAGGAATATAAAAGCATTTTTGATCAGTAAATGTGCAAAATTTCACTTTTTTGTTGTTGTTTTTTTTTTTTTACATTATATAGCATTAGTCCCTGTATTGGTGCATTAAATGCCAGGAATTTCTTGCAGAGGAAGCATTGAACTGCATAATCTAGTGAGTGCATTGGATTGAATTCATAAAATGGTGAATGCAAGCACTAAAACAAAGATTGCTCCAGCTTTAATCTGAAGTAATATCATTCAAATAAAACAAAAATGTATGAATGACTGCTTCTCAGATCCATGAAGAATGTTAGGGAAGATGTGAGGGCATAACAGTGACATATGTTGGTGGCCTCTGTTGACAAATCATTGTTCATAAGTGGGTGAATCTGATTTTGTTTTGATAGTAATGTATTTAAGAAATGAATGACTATTTCCTGCGTAGGGTTTTATTTCCATATGTCGTATCAGTGTAACTTTAATGGATTTTCTTCTTTGTCAAACTTTATGGCTGTTCAAATGTTCTTCTCTCCTCTCTTGATGAAATGTGTGGTTGTTGGGTGAGATTTGAACGTAAAGGAATTTAAGCTCGCAGAAATGTGGGAAATATTTTATGTATAAAAAAAATGTAAATGTGAGATAAACCTTGTGTAAAATAAAGAATGGAGCGACTTCAGATGATTTCAGCATAATCGATTCATTGGGAATCATTATCCTTCACCACTGATGCATTGGATGAGTGTTTTTTACATTGAGAGCACAATGTATTTCTCTCTGTCCCTCTCTCTCTCCTGCTCTGTCTCTATCAGGACAGATGGATCCAGGATTATTGCTGTGATTTTAGGCAAAGATTAGATCGGAGAGCAGATGCACTCAGTGGGAAGCGTGAGGCAGAAACATGGACGTCAAAGACAAGGGAAGTGAGGATGACGGGGAAGAGGGTGGGGCACGCTGTGTGTATGCGTGTCCACTGCAGCTCAGCCCACTGAGGGACATAAGGTATCTTTAACCTAGGTATAAAGGAACATGTATCCACTTTGGATTGAGTCAAAATTGTGCTTCTTTATCAAAATTGTAACATAATGTTTTTTTTTTATGCAGTAGGATCTGATTATTTTCATAACAATAACAACGTTTTCAAATTATATTAAAGTATCATCTTTCTTTAAAGTCAATTTGCCAACTGACCCAAGCTGGAATCAATCAAATCAGAATCCAGTTTATTCCCAAGTAGGTTTGCACTCACAAGGAATTTGACTTGATGTTGATGGTGCAGACAACACAATATACAGAATACAGCATCTATAGCTATATATAACATAAAACAATCAATATACTATATGCAATATATAGTATATAGCTATAGTATATATTGCATTGACTGGTAGCAGATGGGAAGAAACCATTCTTGTGGTGTGAGGTTTTGGTCCTAATGGACCGCAGTCTCCTTTCAGAGGGAAGTCCTTTCAGTGACTTAGTTTGTTGCTGGGGTGTGAGAACTCAGCCACAATCTTCCCTGCACGCCCCAGAGTCCTGGTGGCGTACAGACCCTAAAAAGATGGAAGATTGCAACCACTGACCTTCTCTGCAGACCGGCTGACACATTGCAGTCTGCCCTTGTCCTTGGTGGTGGCCCCAGCGTATAAGATGACGATGGAGGACGTGGGGATGGACTCAATGATGGAGGTGTAGAAGTGCAAATGGGTTCTCATTTGATTTCATGATTTGATAATAAATCCTAACAATGATAACCATTACATACAGATGATTATCCCTCTCATTTACACTACTTTATGTTTTTGTCACAAAGCTATCAGGATAATGTTTATTTTTTTAACGTCACCACTAGAGGATGCTGAAACATCCCAAAAAGTTTTGTAGAAACTGGTACAAATCAGAACTAATACAAAAAAAAAATCTTTGTCCATAAAGATAAAATGTTCCATTTAGAAAAATCTATTGATTCCCTTGGTTAAACTGAGCTTTTGATCAGGGGAGAAAGAAGAGGAGATTAGGGTGACTTGGTTCATAACATGACCATGAGGAAACATATAAGAAGTCAAAGGAGATTAGGCTGACTGGTTTGAGATGACAGAAACGCAACAATACCTGACTTATCCACTCATAACCAAAAGTAAAAGGGACAGTTCTGAACACACAATTCAAACCCTGAAGGGAACAGCTAAAGCAGCAGAAAACCAACTGAAACACCATTTCTGTCAGCTAAGACGAAAAAAACCAAAGACACAATTAAAAACAGGCTTATTAAAACTGCACAGAAACAGATTGGAAATGTTGCCTGAATCTAGAGCTAAATGTTCCAAATTTAGCTCTAGATTTTAATATTTAGCTTCAAAAAGATTTTGATAAAAATGTCAATATTGAACTATTGAACTTGTTGATTACACATTTAGTGTCATGAATATAACTTTTTTTAATGGCTGATTTACTTTACTTGTTCTTTTGTGCATTCTCTGATCATTTCTAAACCATCTTTTAAGAAATTACATTTTTGGAAATGTAATATTTTTGTGACTGTGCTTTTGTATATATATTTTTTATCTGGACCCCAGGAAGACTAGCGGTTTGCCATGGCAACAGCTCATGGGTATCCTTAATAAAATTACCAAATGTAATTGTTACATAAACAATATTATTAGATGTAAAAATGACATGGTAAAATATGACTTTGAAAAACGAACCCTCTTTATTTTCTCTTTTGAAAGGCTTAAATAAGCCAAAACACTGCTGACAAAATGGAAAGTTAGTTCAATTTTTTCTTATTTGTTTATTTATTTTTTGTTTGTTTGTTTGTTTTCATGATCTAAGGGAGAAGTGATTCTTTTCTTGTCTATTTTGTTGAAAGTTTTTTTATTATATAAAAAACAGGTTATCTTTATTATAAAGGTTATTATCGCTACATATAATGATGTAAATATAAAGTTGCAATTATCCAAAGTTACCATCAGAGTGCAGTAAGAGCTCAGTCGTCTCGGGATACATTGTTTAAATTAAAAAAAACATAACATCACGGTGCAAATCCCGGGTATAACTTTTCAAAATAAACCATCAAAAGACGCTCGCTTTTAAGTAAAGAAAATACTTAAATTTTTTATTCTGCAAGTTTAAAAAGATGAAGCGCGACGCCGTTACGTAAAGCTCATCATCAGAGGGCGAAGTTAAAGAGAAGGATCTGCAAGAAAGGGAAAAAACTGTCTGGAGAAGCCGCGCCCAAATAAAGATGTAACTGTTGCTGATTGGGTACTTCTGCTGTCTATGGGCGGGGCTATAAACCAAAGCTTTATTGTGATTGGACAAGAGGGAAGCCTATCTTTGATACCTCATTTCTATTGGTTGCTTTACAAGGGGATTAACGCTTCACTTACAATGAACCTCAGCTGAGAAGAAGTAGGAATTACTACATTTTCTTTCCCGTAGATATTTGTGTAAAGTCGAACATTCTTCCGCTAACCTTTAAGATTGTCCAGCGCGAATAGTCATATTCTCATTTTTTTCCTGAGAGATAAGTTGTCAGACACTTAAGTTTTTTTCAACCAGTTTTGAATAAGGAAATAATCTTGCTAACGTTATGTAGCAAGCTAATCTCATTTATCTGTCGGAAACTCAACTTTCATTCGCCAGCGTTACACAGCCGCACGGACAGGTAAGCGTAGCTGAAGGCGTTTTCTTTCTTCCAGCGCTCTTTCGCCTCGACTTAGCAGAGATACAAGAGTCTTAACTTAGAGAAAAGCGTCTTTATGGGGAGATAAATCTGGGTTAGACTCCTCGCCATGTCAGTTTAGGGAGGAGAGGAGAGGGGGGGTGGAGGATAGATCTGTTAATGATCACCTGATACTCTTTGGATTAGGAGATTAGGAAATCGTGGCTTTCAGTTTTAGCTGAGTCCACCTGTTGATTCGTTCCTTTTTTTTCTTTTTTTTTTTAAATGCAGGTATGACTGAGTATAAACTTGTGGTGGTCGGGGCTGGAGGTGTGGGGAAGAGCGCTCTCACCATCCAGCTGATCCAGAACCACTTTGTGGACGAATATGATCCCACTATCGAGGTGAGAAACCGCTGATCACAGGGAGGACTCTGCTCCAGGAAGCCTTATTTGCTCTAAAATGTGTGGGTGTGTTAGAGTTTTATGCTTGCCTGGCTCTTTAAAGTACCTGCTGTCTTAATTTGTCATAAATGCTACAGATGCAAAAAGGAGAAAACTAAGAAATGAAGATGTAAAATAATGGTTATTAATACAGAATGATGATTCCCCTTTAGAATTTTGATCTTATGTAAATCTATTCAATTGTTGTCTGGATTTCAACTTTACTGTCATGTAGATTCAACCATTACTAGATTATTACAGATTGTTAATTTATGCCAGAATTACTTGATCTTTACACAAAATACTTCAGACATTGAAGTTAGTTGTTTTGCACCCCTTAGCCTTTCTAATAGATGTTGGAGATAGACTTGTTTTCCAGTGTAGTCCTGTTTCTCTGACTGTGACTGGCTCGATGTGCACTCTTCATCCTCTGACATGTGAGCTGGTTTGGAGCTCGTCTGCCTGGCTGTGTGTTTCCTGGACCAGGCCAACTTTTACAGCTGTTTTTTGTCTCCTTGAACCCCAGTCGGCCTTGGCAGATGGCCGCTCACACTGAGCCTGGTTCTGCTGGAGGTTTCTCCCTGTTAAAAGGGAGTTTTTCCTCTCTACTGTCGCTACAAGCATGCTTAGTGTGAGGAATTGTATTCCAGTTAATGAGTTGATGCAATCAACTGGTTTTCCTTAGAAAGAAAACTTTAAATCAATTTGACTGGATGATCTGGTGAACTGTAAAGTGCCTTGAGATGACATGTGTTGTGAATTGGTGCTATATAAATATAAGCTGAATTGAATTAATATTTCTTTATGAATCAATCAGGCCATCTTATAAGGAAATATTCTATTATTGGGTTGTTGACATGCTGCTCAGAGCTTGACAAATCTTGACAAGTCTTAAAATGTGTTTTGTTTTTTGTTTTTTTTGTTTTTTTTTATTGTTTGCTACAATAAGAGAAACCAAATGTGTTCCTTTTGTTTCCACACACTTTCTTATTTTGTGTGACTGGAATCATAATTTTTTGCGCTTCCTACAAGCAGGACATAATTCTGAGGACGTGTCTCAGCCTAATAATGAGCAGCTTAAGTATTCAGTTATATACTGCAGCAGTTTCTTTTTCAGTACACTTTTTATGACTCTTATTTGACTGGAATTTCCAGATGTAGATATGAGGCATGGGTTGGTTTGAGTGAAAACACAGCAGCATCTTGGTAGTAGCGAATCTATGATGCTGAAGCTAAAGTCAATTGATTTGACGCTAGCAGTTTGCTAGATCTTCACATATAGCTGGTCTGTATTTGAATGTTTTTAACAGAGGTTCTTCTCCCTTTAGCTTGTCAGCTGTGCACTTGTATTAAAACAGTTTCTTTAATATTAGTATCTGCATGTATGTTCCAGGCTGTGGTTTTCTGATTTTATATCAGACAACCAACAAATATTAACCAATACCACCAACAAAATATTATACTTATAATATTTCTAAAGAGCTGAATTTGTGTTTTTGGGAAGTAAAGGAAAATGTAGGAGCTTTTTTTTTTTTTTTTAAGCCAGTTGACCACCAGTGGGAAGGGGACCAATGGGAGGGGGGCTCTGGCGTCAGTCTTTTAAAGGTTTATTTTACTGCGATTGAACATGCCCATCTTTATGTAGATCCTGTTTTTCTTAAGCAGAGATGCTGCAAATTCATAACTGTGAAATAGATGCAAAGGACATCGCGCCTCACAACAGTGGCATAATTAACACAAGCCATATTTTCACGCATCCAAACCAATTCTTTCTTCTAAGCTGGAAATTATCCCACTTAGATCAGTCGGGGGCTGACAGATTAAAGTCTGCAGCCCACTTAGAATATGCTGTGGATAATCTTTGTCATGCAGGACATGGTAACTCCGGAAAAGCTTTTTGGAGCTCATCAGAAATACATTATCAGTTGAATTCACCCGTCACTCAGATGTAAATCACAGACGTCCTGTTGAAGCATGATGCAGGGCCTTGAATTGCTGGGATGCTACTACTGTCTACGTGAGCTTTGCTGTTTGTGCTGCAGGACTCTTACAGAAAGCAGGTTGTGATTGACGGGGAGACATGTCTGCTGGACATCCTGGACACTGCAGGTCAGGAGGAGTACAGCGCCATGAGGGACCAGTACATGAGGACTGGAGAGGGTTTCCTCTGTGTGTTTGCCATCAACAACACAAAGTCCTTTGAGGATGTTCATCTTTACAGGTATAGAATGACTAAAAAAAACAAAACAAAGGCGGCTCTAAATGATATATTTTCTAATGAAATTGTGCTAGATCTGACATTATACTATTACTCAGTGGTTTGAGTCACACTTTACCGTAAGATAGACGCCTGGTTAGTGTAGGACAACGCAGCTATGAGGGCTATTTCCTGCTGATCAGGAACTGTCCTCGTTTATCTCTGAAACAGCTGAGTGTGGTTAAAATGAGGCCATTTAGGACAACTCCTGTAGCTGTGCTGCCTCTAAGTTTTTTTTTTTCCTTTTTTGAGTTAAGATTTGTCTGCTCTGTTGCCGTGAACTTTATATTCAATGTGGCCTCTGTATCTGACCCAGATAGGTGGCTGAAAACACCTGCACATCAAGGACAGCCTCTGACTCTTTCAGGTTTTTATGTTTTATTCACTTGTCGTCATTTTAGAGAGCAGATCAACCGGGTGAAGGACAGTGACAGTGTTCCCATGGTGCTGGTGGGGAACAAGAGCGATCTGAGCTCCCGCACGGTGGAGACAAAGACGGCCCAGGATCTGGCGCGGAATTACGGCGTGCCGTTCGTTGAGACTTCAGCTAAAACCAGACAGGTTGGTGGAAACGGGCACACCTGCAGTTCATCTAAGTGAACAATAATTGAACGGTTCATTCATCAAAGTCGTTCCAGACATACAACCATACACGCCCACACTTAAGGATCATTTAGAGAAGTCAATGGACCTAACAGTCATATTTTTGGACTGTGGGAGGAAGCCAGAGTACCTGGAAAGATCCCACACGTGCATCGGGAGAACATGCAAACTCCATGCACAAAGACTCCAGGCTGGGATTTGAACCCAGGACCTTCTTGCTGGAAGGCAGCAGTGTTACACACTGTGCAGCCATCAATTAATTGTGGTTTAAAATGAATGAAATTCCAGATTTCTCTTAAATAATCAAAGGCATTTAGGTTGGGCCTAATCCACCTGGACAGCTCTGGAAGCACAAACGTCACACCTCAGACACCTTCCACAAATCACCCTGCAATTATACATGTTGAATGTGCACATTTTCATATCACACTATTTCCTTCCACTACTGATAGATGCAGCATCTGATTAAAAAATGTGTTTGAAGGATGCAAAAAAACATTCAAACCAAAAAGACTTTCATGTTGTTTTTTTTTTTATAAGCATGGATGTAAATATTTCAACACTTATTTTCTTGGTTCTTATGTAATGTTTTAGACTCAAAAAGGAATTTTGGGCTAAAAATAAGAATTAATTTTTCTTTTTTTTTTTATATTACGCTTGAAACTTTGACTAAAGGTCCAGCAGAAAAATCTATGAAAATTTTCCAATCCAGTTGTTGGTTGACCTCTGGGTTCTGTGCCACATATATTTTTTCTGCTTTGGTCTTGCAGGGTGTAGAAGAAGCCTTCTATTCACTAGTGCGGGAGATAAGAAGATACAAGGAGACCAACCGCAGCAACAAGAAGAGCAAGAAAAGCAATCCGAGACGCTGCATTATACTATAGCACACCGAAACGTCTACTGCCAGCATCCCTGAGAGCACTTGTATCTAACTGCCCCCTCCTGACTCGCACACTGCCCCTCACCACGGAGGCGTCAGTGAAAACGGAATCGATTTTCATTGTTGCAACTGTTGCCCAGTCGCCATGTTTGTCATTTTCATCTGCTTAAGGATTTCACTGTAAACTGTGCAGAACTGCACTTTGCACAATAATATGGGGGGAGGAGCTCAGTCTGCGATCGCATTAATTACTTTGATTTTTTTTATCATACTTAAGTGTTTGTATTGCAAGAGAACAAATAAATTCAGTATATTTTGTAATGGGAGGACATTTGCTCAGGTTAGGTTTTTCCATTCGTTTCAGAAATGTAGCTATCACATCTTTATAACAGATCTTTGTACCCTCTGAAACATAACAGCAGTTCATCCTTCTAGTGAGTTTGTTTCCCGGGTTCACTTTATACACTTCAGTTTATTAGAATGAATTTGTGCCACTTTCAAAGTTTACTCAGGAATATGCTTTTTTGAACCGTCACAGCAATCTGCCTGAATATTCGCATCGTGTGTAACACTGCGTTTGGTTGCATTTAAAACTCACTGTCTGCTGCCACTTTGTTACAGCACTCTGTTGTCATGGCATGTTGTGAGAAAAATTTGCATGGCATTAGTTGCACTCATGCTGAAGCCAGTGTTCATCAGTTCTCTGATCTTATGCAATGCTGGATGGCTGGTTTATACAAGGAGGAAAAAAAAGATACAAGGATCTGTCACCAATAGTTTTCTATTTTTGTAGAACTACTTGATGCATCCCCCAGTGTAAAATAAATAAAAATGCTAAATGCACAGTAATTGATAATCACATCTCAAGTTGCATTCTTTAAAAGCCTCTCTGTATCAATCCAGTAAGTCATTTCATTGTAATGCAGTGTACACAGATCTCTATTAATTTAAATAGATAAAATAGCTTCAGATGATTAAGCATTTTAACAGCTTGGAGGCAGGAAGCTATGCAGCGGTCTGTGGGACCGTTCGCCTGATGGCAGCTGTTCAAAAGTGTCAGAGGCTGTTAGGACTCTGACAATGTTCAGAGCTCTGCTCCTGCAGCAGCTTTGGAAAGATCCCTGGAGAAAGATGGGGGATACATCTTAGCTCCCCTCACCATCCTCTGCTAGGCCTGAATCTATGCCATATCACAGCTGTAGTCCCTCTCAAAGCAGAAGTGTTTATACTTCAATTATACAGTAATTATTTTTCAAATCATATTAAACATGCAAGACTTTATACTTATTAAATAAAGGGCTTTTGACCTAATTGGACTATTTTCAGGAGGTGTTAGAAAAGCATGGAAAAAAAATATCTGAAATAATTGCATAAACAATTTAGGCCTAAACAAAGTACACCACAGGTTTTGACAGTCAGCGATCAAACCAGAGGAGGAGCTGTGGTTTTTAGGTCTAAATGAGCGACCGGTTGAATCTAAAGCTGCTTTAATAGTGTGTTTACTGAGCATTTGTTTAAGTTCTGGGCAGAAAATAATCAATTGACAACAGCTAATGGTTTCAATTTATTTTACAAACAAAAGGCACTACTAATAAATGTATTCATAGAAAAGATGAAAAATTGTGAGACATTTTTACAGACACAAAAAGACAGAAAATACAGAGAGGATCAGAGCTCCGCTTCGCATTCAGGATGTGGTTTTTTATCACCATCCAAATCGAGACACCAGCTTGCTCTGGTCATCCAGATCCTTCTGAACCTTCTTCCTCATGTAGAAGATTGGGCAATCTCGGCTGCAGAGCAGAGGACATCACCGGGTTACGTTTACAGCTAAAACCCCCCCACTTCCGATGAAATCAGGATAAAGTTTGTCTCTACCTGGTGCACAGCACGTCCTCATGAAGGGAGCCCTGACAGCGCTGGCATTGAGTCCACAGGCGGGAGAAACGCTCCTCTAACGTGTTCAGGTGGAAGATCTAGAGAATTAAAAAAGATAAATTGAATTCATTTCTATTCAATAACATAAATAAAGTTCTTTCAGCTGCTTGAATACCTCTTTTTGATAAAGTTCAGATTCCTTCTTTTTGCAGAAATCACACACGGCCGCTGGAGGGACACAACACGTTAAAAAAATCCCTTAAGGCAGTAGAATTAGAAAGCTAGAGGTAGTTTTTTAAAATAAAATACTTAAACCTGAAGATGGCATTCATTGAAAAAAAAAATTTAAAGATGGAGAGCCTTAAACACACCATCAGTCTTGAGGACAGCTTTGCATCCGATGCAGGTGCTTCTCTTCTGAGCAAATGCCATGAGGCCTCCAACCTTCGAGGTCAAAACAGTCTTACAGCGGGTGTGGTCGCCCTCTGAATAAAAAAACAAAATAATACAAAAAAAATCACACCACTGCCATTTAATTTCTCCAATTATATAATTTAAAATTGAGATTTCATTAGAGATCATTTCCTATAAGAATTAATGGTTGATCTGAGAGTGTATTCATGCAACTCCAAACCACATGTCATTTTACAACCACTAATTTTAATGTATGTTTGTTTAAGGTTTTTAGATCACAATTTTGACTAAATACATCCAAAAATCTTCAGAAATCCCTTAATTAGCTGTTCTGAAAAACTGCCACTTAAGCAAAAGGTACGACTATTTGTAGGAGCTTCCATACTTAGCAGGACACTCTCCGCCTTGGTCTCCCCCAGGATGGGCTCAAATATTCTCAGCAGGGGTTTGGAGAGCTGCTGCTCCAGGTAGTATTGGGTGTCGATGGGGATGTTGTTCTCCAGCACATAGATTGGGTCCTGAAATTTGGAAGAAATAGAAATAAAGTTAAATGTGTCCCAAAAGGGAAATGCGACACCTTAACCAAGGTGGTCGGAGAGAAGGCTGCTTCACCTCTGACTTCATGTACGCCGCTACTCCCTTTGTAGCCTTGATGATGACGTAGGGGACTCTGTCTCCCAGGTTTGGGGCACTACCTGCATCCCTTTTTCTCATTCTGTAAAAAAAATACAATTAAAAACTGATTATTTTAACAAAACAGATTATTCTAAAGCTTAGCTAAAATAAGCTGCTAGGTCATTAGACAAGCCGACCTTTCAGCCAGCTCCACGTGTGCCTGCTTGCCAGCATACTCCTGGGCTGTACGCGTTAGCTCCTTCGTTATAACCAACTGACTGATGTCGATGCGATTGCACAGCAGGTCTGAGATCACTTCTTTTGCATGTTCCACTGCGCCTTGAGGATCTCTGCAAAAAATAAAAAATAAATAAAAAACAAGCATCTTTAATGCAATCTGGCAGTTTTGATGCTTAGAAATAAATGCAAATGGAAGCCATCTTTGTTAAACTTCCATGCAGCAAAAGCATCTGCTACCTGTCAATGAGGATCTTTTGTAGACAAGTGTTGATGAGGTTGGCCACTAGAGGGCAGTTGTCTCTGCGGACTGTCTCAATGCCTTTACAGTCCATCTTGTCATGAGTGTCTGGACTGGAGGAGAAATACAAGCCTGCATAGCGCTTCTTGTTGATCAATAGGTATGGGTAGTACACCTGTGGAGATTAAAACAAAGGTCTTCTATTCAAAAAAGCTTCTGTGTGGGTTTCCACAGATTGTAAGAGAGGCCGGTCTTTTTTGTACCATTCAAAAATTACTAAATGACAATCTTTCACCCTTAATCTTAACTAGAAAATGTTCCTTAGGAATCAAGTTTTGGAAGCAGAACTTTAGGAGGCCATGTTAAAATAAAAAAATGCACTTTAGTAATGCTTTACCTTCTCAAACTCCAGTTTGATGGGAGGTGTAAAATGGGACGACACCCACTCAGCTGCTTCCCTCCCAATTTCCATGGCTTCCTTCACGGTGGTGACACCAAGTTTAACCATGACGGAGTCAGTGTCGCCGTAGATGACCTAAAGAGACAATAAAATAAAACGTCAATCCTATAATAATAAATTCCACCAAATAATCATAGAAAGCAAACTTTAAAAGAAAAAAAAATAAAATTATCTGACCTTAGCATCTGCTAGGTAGCCGTTGGAAAGGGTGTATTTGGACTCCACCAGCTGTTTGGTTTTCTCAATCATCTGTCTTCCAAAACCAGTGACACTCTGAAAACAATCAAACGGTTCTGATCAGACACGGGTCACATTTAAAAAGATCAGATTCGTACTGGATTCAGGACCACATATACAAGAGGCCTGGGTCGCATTCTTAAAAAAAAAAAAAAATGTTCATTGTTCATAAATAGATAAATAAAATGAAGCATATTTGGGCCACTTCAGGCTGCTGTGTGACCCATTTGTTTAAACCTGTAGCAATCATTTCATTATTTTTTGAAATGCTTATTTTTTTATTCTCTTAACTAAATCCTACTCATTCATTTAATAATATTTTCTTATTTTATTTTTCTTCCCATGAACAGACATTTTAACCGTCTTGCTATTTAAATGTGCGATATGACCAAACCTGCCTCTCTTTAAATATTGCACGCCCAAATAGGTCAGGTTTGACCTTAGATTCTTTTTCCTGAATGTCTTCAGATGTTTCTTCAACATTTCAACATAATGTTTGTTTATGCTGCCAATTATTTTCATGAAGTGCACCGCTCCCTCCTGCAGCAAAACAAACACACTACGACGCTGCCACGCCCGCTTTTCACAACTAAGATGGGTTCTCAGGGTTCACACGCTTTCTTCCTGACTTTCAGTATGTTTACAACTGGAACAAAGAACTCAATCTACTTCCTAAACATTAAGGAGGAACATCAGGCTGTTCAATGCTTTTTGAACAGATGAACCTTCAGACACCTGGAATATCTACCAAAGGAAGAACCAGACAACTAGAGAGCTCTTCCTGTTATTTTAGCTGATTTTATTTGTTAAAGAATGAATTGATGTGTCTGATTTGACTCAAATACCGTCTCAACCTTTCAGTTTTTCAAACCAGTTAAAGGACCAGAGGATTCCTTTTTGTGGCTTTTAGCAAATAGAAATAATTTTAGTAATCCGAGTAAGCACGTACGCCGAACTTAAAGAGGGTGTGATTCAAAGTCAGACATTGAGAAGTGGGGGAAGCTTTCTTCTAAACAGTCTATGTAAATATCTCTACACTTCCCACCTGTTTTGTGGTTTCTTATCCTAAGCCTACATCTTAGTCGTTTACCGTTCCTGCTCTTACTCTACATCTGTGCATAACAATAAAAACAAGGCAAGAAACTCAAACTCAAATGGAAGACAAAAACATCCATAAGCTAGCTGAGCAGGTCTTGGAACAGAAAGTACTAACCTGCGAGATTTCCAGGCAGGGCAATTTGCCCACCTGGGCCCCGGTGAAGCCGTACACCGAGTTGGCGCTGATTTTCAGGGCTAACTGTCGACCATCCAGCACCTGCTTCTTGAAAGGGTCAGTTTCCTTCTTTAGCTCTGATTTAGCCCTGTGGACAGATAGAAATAAATATATGTTGCACTACTTAGTTTCTAGAGCGTCCACTAAAAGAACGGGTGTCCTAAATATTAAATAACAGCTGCAAATTAATGTTATTTCAATAATATACTGTCTTCATCAGTTTCTTTTAGTTTGAAGGTCCTTCAAACCTCTTTCGGGCAGACAGCAGGTTCTCCAGGATCTCTGGAAGAAGACCTTTCCTCACAGAGCTCTTCACAAACTGGTCGCCTGTGGGGGTCTTGATGAAGTCATCTGAAGACAGTCTGAAAACAAACAAACAGAACTTCACTAAAAGCAAATCCCAGGAGATATGGTTTGGTGAAATTAGTCATTGGCTGTTTCTCAATTCACAAGAACGCGAGTATGGACTCGTATCCTCGCCAAGTCTGTTCTTGAGAAGAACACAGGAAAGTGGACTCGAGGAGAACGGAGCATAAATATTGGTCAATTGGAACAGAAACGTACTTGTGACATCATCACTAGCTCAGCTCGTCTGGAGCCACATTTCACCCCGTTATTAATAGTCTCTTGATAATAATAAATTCTTACTTTTTTTCTCATTTGGTAGGGGGATAATAAATAACACAGTCAGATAAACACAAATCAAATGAACATTTTGCCAAATATAACAACAAACTCGCCATTAGAGCCATCAGTAGGTCACACACGGCTATGTTAAGAAAGCATTTTAAATGCCACAATAAACACATTTAATGAATGTTAATGCCAATGAAGGCAACAATATAATGATTTTTAATTATTTTTAATGACCCACAGAAACCCTGATCTCAGTCTTGTTTTCTTGTGAATGGGAACAGAACTAGGGCTGAGGCTGTTTCACGAGTACAAGAGCACATGAGTCCGCACAGGTACACATATTGAGAAACGGACCTAAATGCATGTTAAGTTAACTAGTCCCATATAAAGTTGAATTTTAAAGGATTTTTTTTGGACCATTTTTGATCTTCCATTTCAATAAAACCAGATTCTTAAGCTGAATCAGATTTTTTCTTTTAAATAAAAAAAATTAAAAAAATAAATCAACCACGACACAAGAAAATACATCAACAGCATTTAACCTTCGCCCAGAAAGTGGTCGATAAGGAATTCCAGTAGCAGAACTGATGCTGTAAAACAGGTTTTTTTTTAAAAAGGAGGTGGTTTTTAGCAAACAATGCAATCTTCATTGTGTTGCACCTCTTCCTTGTGGGTTGGTGTTGAGGCAAAGGGAATGAAAACTTACCCCAGTTTTTCAGCAGAGCCTTTCTGCAGCAAGGTAGTGTAGCACAGATTGTGAGCCATCATGATGGACGGATACAAGGAGGAAAAGTCCAGCGTGGCGATAGGAACGCTGTAATATCTACAGGAAAAAAATGCTTTTAATAATCTGTACCCCCCTGGAGAGCAGGAGACCTTTGGACACAGAGGCACATACCCTTTCTCTGGCTCGATGACTGTTGCTCCTGTGTAGTCTTCTCCCCCCTCTGTCCTCACCACAGGCATTACCAGGTCCTGTTTCATAGCCTAAAAAGCACAAACACCCTCGTTTGTGAGTTTGCTCTGACCAAGCCTGTGTGTACCTGTTCAACCTGTACAGTCAGTTGAACAGATTTAGCATCCATGAATGAATCTACTCATGCAAACATGCCAGCATCTGTCAACTGATTGTAGTCAGTTGACGTCCAAAATGAGATATAGATGATAAATGTGTCCCAATAGATTTCGAAGGTGAAGAATCCCACAAGCAGAAATCAAATTAGCGGCGTTTAGGTTTGTGATTCCCACCTGTCGCAGCAGCTGAGAGACAACCTTGATTTGCTGTCCTCTTGAGAGCAGGTAGGTGAGAGGCACGCCGGTTACTCTGGCCATCTCCATGTAATTGATCACGCACATCAGTTTCTGCAGCAGGCGGAGCGGAAGGTAGGCATCTTTCAGGCAGTAGACAGCAAGGCGACGCCGCGTTTGTTCGTTTCCATTCTGCCGAAAAAGGAGGGAATCCATGCAGGTAAAAAAATTAATTAATTAATCAATTAAAACAGGGGTAGTTTAATCTTTGAATACAAACAATAAATAAAAAAAGAACAAAACTAGGCCTTACCTGCAGATCGGTGATGATAGAGTGCTGCACATCTTCCTTCTGTTCTTGCAAAAAATGGAAACTGACAGCGTTCAGCGTGTAGGAGCGCAGTTTATAATCCCTGAGAAGAACCTGTGAGAAAAACACTACTCAATGATCCTGGAAACGCTTTTCACTTAATCAGTGAATTTGAATATTAAATGTAAAAAGCTCAACTCTGAGCGCTCACCTGCAGCAGGTCAAACTGAACTCGACCCTCCATGTTAATGGTCTTGTTCTCTCTGCGTCCCATCTGCTTACTCTGGAAACTTGAATCTCGCAGAACTGATTTGACGCCTCGCATTCGGCCCAAGTATGGGAAGTAATTCACCTGAAAGAACATCAAAATGTAAGTAAAACTGGTAGGTTTTAGTCTGAGCTGAAAAGAGGATTATGAATAGATCTGCTGCATATTAAAGGTTTTAAGATACAATAAAGTTCTCATCCGTTGGAGAGAAATGGGCATTTTACGACAGAAAGGCTCTGTTTATGTAAATAAATGAATAAAGCAGAGTTCCTACTAATATCTAATACCAAAAACTTAGGCTTGTAGAGTCAAATTCCCAGAGCTGTTATGATAAACTCAACATACAAAGATTATACCATCTTTTTTGTTCTTCAAACTTATTTACACACAATCCCCCACCTCCCACCCAAACTCCAGAGTTTTCCAGGATTTATGGCCATTCTAATGATCAAATCAATCATAAAGACAATCTTAAATTCAATTAAATTCAAAAAAAAATTTTGAAGGTGGATTTGCAGTTAAATTTATTTTGTAATGCCACTGAGTAAAAGGTTTTCCATGTAGGGAAGAGGAACGTCAAACCAGAGCTGGAACTGCTTCAAAAGGCTTTTTAATCGAACCTTCAAAGCAGCTGCTCTGTTGAGCAAGTAGGGAAAGTCAAAGTTCTGGATGTTGTATCCGGTGATGATGTCTGGATCCACAGTCCTCAAAAACTCCGCCCAGCTCTGTTCAGAAGAAAAAAAAAGATTTAGTTGAAAAGAAATAAAATAAATGTTAAAATCTGCTGCATTGGTTTCTTTTTCCTCCTCCTGGAGGCTGAGTCTCTACCTCTAGAAGCTTTTTCTCCTGAGTAAAGCATAAGATCTGCGAGCCAACGATGCTAGCGCAGGACTGGAGGGTGAAAACAGTCCGGATGAACGGCTCGCTCTCACCCTGCCGTTGGACCATAGAGGCTATCTGAATCACTGGATCCTTATCCGCTTCTGGAAAGATTCCTAGATTAAAAAAAAGAAAGACAATATCCTTTAAAAATATATATATTTACACACATAAGTCATCATCAGCATGTGTCTGACTGGGTTTTTCTTTCTCAGTTAAATAATGTGGAAGAAAGCAAAGAAAAAGAGATTACCCTTCCTTCCTGCGCACTCTATGTCAAAGCTAAGGACCCTGAGTGGAGCGATCTTCTGCCACTCTCCTTCTGCAGGGTGACTTATCAAGTCTGTCCATCCAACATCTACTTCATACTGACAGAAAGAGACCTGCAGGACCAACACAAAAGGAGGAGAACAGTTGTTTTACACTGCTGACAACCAGTGGGAAAGAGAGGTGACTGACAAACTGAGGAAAGGATGGATGGAGAATAGGTACTGATGGAGAAAAACACCAACCAACCTTTCCTGGAGTCAGAGAATCTGTGGCCGCCGAGCTCTTCTCCTCACGCATTCTGTACTTTCCTTTGGGAAGTTCAATCCAGCAGCATCCAACTACATCACTGTCCACCATGAACCTGGGAAACACCAGCAGGTTTGTTCATTTAGAACCGAGGTTCCCAGACAAAATGGTACCCATAAATCCATGCCCCAAACCACTGGCTGAGTATACAAACATCAATCAACCAAAGGTGTAATAATCAGAACAGCATCAACATCCAAAAAAGGTTTGTTCATTTTTAAATCATGCTTTTAAATCTGGAAACACTTTAACATAAGTATTCAGTGTTTCTGTATCATTTCTTCTTTGGATCTCAAGACCCCGTACTGGTTGATCAATGACCCCAATTGGGGTCCCAACCAAAGCTTTGGGACTAAATGATTTAGAGTGTATTTTGTTACAATATGAAGGATTTACTTAAATCTTTGAGGTGGATGGAAAAAATATTTGCAGTTGTATGTTTTGTTTTTGTTTTGTTTTTAAGACAAACATATTTAGGATTTTAATATTCTAATTTCCATTCAAATATCTTAAGCTCATTCAGGTTGGATGGGGAGGTTCTGTGAACATTATTATGCAGCATATTCTAACCCTTTCTAAAAGATTGAGACCCTTTTCACAATCTCTCTCGATAGACATTCTTTTTCCTCTTACTCTCCTAGGAGTGAATGACTACACAGCCGACAGATTCTTGAACCTGAGCTGTGGATCACTGCAGCTCATTTGCGCATGCGCAACCAGATACACATCCAGGTTTCCTTTATTAATGCAATTATGGTACTAAAATAACTTGTTTATATCCTTAACTCACCAAAGAATGCTAAAACAAATTTTTTAAAAATATTTTATGACTTTTCTGAGACAATTTTGATGTTTTTTGCATTTTCTCAGTTAAGCCGGGCGTACACTGTGCGATTTTTTTTCAATCGTTGCACGCAGCTGCTGCTCACACTGTATGATTAACCACAGGGGTTTAGTTGTACAGTGCGAGTTCACAGCTCACGATTTATGTTCATCCCGACGCTCTCGTGCGATCTACCTGCTCACACTGCGACCAAAAACCACATTGGACTCAGCTCCGCAGTGAAATGGAGCTGCTCTGTAGATCTCTTTCCTGAAGCCAAACAAGGAGAAAAGGGATATTAAGCTCACTATAGTGAACCGCGCTGCCTGGGAAATCTGTGCAATTTTGTGCTGAAAGCCCTAAAATGAAAAGGCAACGACGTATTTGTAAGGAAAAAAGACATAGCTGAGCAAACATGACTACAATGGTCTGTTAATTTTACAGACAGAACTGCATTTCACCCATTGCATCCCTGCCATGCTTCTGTGTTTACATCTGAGAGGAAGAATAAAAAGAAGAATCCATGTTTGCACCCTCGGCGATTTGCCCACGACGGTCGGGAGAAAATCAAACATGTTTGATTTTCGATTCATGATCAGGATGTGGTGATGAGAGGCTGGTCGCCACTCGTAACCCCCTGTACACTACACAACTCAAGACGCACGATCAGGCTAAAGGTCAACCCGATCAAAAGATTCTCGCACGACTGGACAATCACCCCGAAAATCGCACAGTGTACGCCGGGCGTAAAACAGATTATCTGATGTCATAATCAGACATGCTCACAGTAGTCTGGCAAAATATGATTAAACCATGTTTATCTTTTTTTTTTTTTTTTTTGCTATTTCTTTTCATAGATTAAAAGAGACTACATTTATGTAGATTTAGATCAATCCAAAGTGGAAACAGTTATCTGCTGGAAGTAGCATAGGATCCCATTATGGGCACAGAGGAGTGATAAACCAGGAAGGATTTTAAGGCATTGATTTTCTCAGGAAATACATTATTAACCTTTAACACATTATAGTTTAGTACGCTTACTATTTTTGGGGAGGGAAAACGTAATTTAGGTCTTTTTTACAAAACAAAAATCGAGGGCGCCCTGGATGTATATCTGGTTGTGCATACGCAAATGAGCTGATGGTATGGATCGTGCTTCTGGGACGGATCAGGTAGTGACAGTAGATCTGCAGTTTTATCACAGTTAAGGCAAATGGCTGATAGGTATTAGAGCAGAGGGCATGAATACAAACACATGATAGTTCTTTTTTTTTTTTCTGAGCAAAGAGATTCACCAACATATTACTAACAGATTTCACTCAAAAATTAACTTTCTGTGGGAGATTTTTTACTTGGTAGTTTTGATTTTTGATCATTAACTGTTTGTTGCCAGTAAAAAAAAAAAAAAAGAAAGCTATTACCAAAAGTGGCTAAAGTCCATGCTTACTGTTAATGACTGGATGGATATAAAACATATTATAAGACTTTAGGATATAAGACTTTACATGACCGTCAGAGGAAAGCGCTTAGTAAGGTCCTTGGTTATCTCTTTCGAATATGAATCTTTTAATTCAAAATTTGAAGTTCTCTTTGTGATTAATAAAGTATCTTTGAATTGTCTGCATTATGTCTGTGTTTCTTGCTATACTCCAACACTTTTCATTGTAAATAATACCGTGTCAGACTTTCCATTCTGTGCGATGTAAAATTACTGAAAAAGCCGATGTTGTCTTGATGACAAATATTTCCTCTATAATTAGGTGCTTTTTTCAAGTAAAATAAAATGATCAAAATTTAACCATACCAACCTAATTTCAAAATCTATGTTGGCCTCATAGGCCTGGTAGCTCTGGACTGGAAATGGTCCAAACTTAAAGCCCTGTTCCAGCAGTCGCTTTGCAGGCGCGATGAGACGAGGCATCGCCATCGTAATCCGCAAGAAATCCAGGCTGCGCTGCCCGTGGTAACCGTACATGCCTTCAGTCGAAACAAAAGAGAAGCTTTGAATTTCATTTTTACTAAGAGACATAAATACTCCCTTAATACAGGCTTGTTAATCTATTACGGCTTCCATTTCTTTACAAAATCCAGCTTTCTAAAGCCTGATTATGGTAGTTTATGATAAATACAGATCTCCCTTAAAACATGAATTCAGTGCTCTTACTCTCTTTGCGGCAGATGTCCACAGCAAGCACCGTGATGGAGATATTATCCTTATTGGAGCGCATGTCCTTAAGAACCACAGAGTTCAACTCTCTTTTAAATTCACCGAGGTAGTTAGATGAAAATCCTAATAAAAAGAGAAAAAAGAAAAATGAAAATGGAAATCCTGCAAGAGGGATTATACAGGTCACAATAATTTGCATCTAATAAGAATAAAATGAACCAAAGTTTGACAGCTCAGAAAAAATAATGTTTTTTTTGTTGCAAGCTTAAGCATGATATAAAATACAGTTTAACATAAAAATCCCAATTGAGTCTGGGGTAAAGTTCTCACCGCTTGGTGCAGGAACATAGAAGTAAGGCGCAAAGCCGTGAACATGACAGCACACACTGTTGCCGCTGTCAGTTACACCAAACATCCGAATGATTGGTACTTTTGCTTGTGATTGGCCTGGCATGCCAGCTACAGAGTTACCTGTAGGACAAAAAAAAAAAAAAAAAAACACAGTTATTTTCCATCATCTTACAGATCTTGGTCCACCTCTTCAGGTATTCTACAAACCCAACTTTTTTTCTCTATCTTTTATTTTTACAGACTGCATTATTTAGATTTATCTTTCATACTTGCCGAGGTAATAGTCTAGATCAATCTGCTGGAACACTAATGTTTCAGAGGATGGGTCCAGTGTGGGGGCATGAGGTCTCCTCCAACGTGGGTTTAGGTCTGCTGAGAAAAGGTCACCTGATGGGACAGGAAGGTAAGTCAGTATTTAGACCAAAATAAGTTAAACACAAGATCGCTAAATGCCAATGTGTGGTTAAAGAAATGTATTAAAAACCTCTGTATTTTTTAAGGCCCAACACTCACCAACAGGAATGACATCATGTCCTGCCTGTCCCTCCATGTCCTCCATATCCATCTCTGCCTCGTCAAACATCAACAATTCTTCCTCAAACTGGGATGGACTATCCTCCCATTCGCCATTCACTTTACCTCGCTTGGCTTGGGACGAACCTCCCATGGGAGGGCCACCATTACGGCGTTTAAACTCCATACCTGTAAGCGAAGGAATTCAAAACAAAAAGGCCATAAGTTAAAGGAATACAAATAGATTAGGGGCTGAATATACTTGACAAAAAATTTTAAATATAAATGTAAACTAATGTATTTCAAGGTAGAAATTACATAAGAAAACCTGTTTGAGGCGGACTATAAACTAGGGTTGTATACCTTGCATCGAGACATCAACACAAACCGTATAGCAAGAGCTACAATAGTTTACGTCAAATAATACTCAACTGTTAGTAGGGGTGCAAATAATAATCGTTTTGTATCGATGCATCGATCCAACAGCCGATGATCCAATGTATCGATACCTTCATAAGAGAATCGATTCGTGTTTTGTTTTTTTCCTCCGGTCGATTTTTAGCCATTTGCTCCTGGACGTAATTCTGACCCCCACGCTGCGGTGGCGCTAAACCTATTTTGCCCTCCTACCTCGCTTCCTTTAGCCACTACCCTCTTTCCGCTTGCACACACGCTTGTTACCATTTGCTGCTAGTGCACTTTTGCACTCATTGCACTGATTTTGTTGAGTATTGTTATTCTATAGTGAATGTAGTATAGGCCTATTTTTGTTACTTAATCTTCTAATGCACTTATGCATTAATTTCAGTATTTTTTTATGCAAGGCCTTTCAGAATCTATAACACAGAGGTATTATTATTTTTCAGTGAATGAGGTCTTCATAGGCATAGGTGGAGTACTTCTGTTATTTGCTGTTGTTTCTTAACTAAAATGCAGAACGATATTACAGCTTTCCCTGATTTATTTCAGATTTGAAACATTGTCTAGCCTGTAAGGTAAAAAAAAAAAAAAAAAGAATCAATTAATCGAATCGTGGTGTATTCCTGAGTATCGAAAATAATCGAATCGCTGGGTCAGGAAATCGATACTGAATCGAATCGCCATGATAGGTGTGATTTACACCCCTAGTGGGTACAGGGTTGTGCATGTGCATTTTTTTTTAAAGTGAAGAGGGCGGGCTTTTTAAAAAATTCATCCTCCACAATACCTTTAGGACCTTACTGTATTATCTACCCAGCATGCATTGCACAGATGAAAAGATGCATACCTCATTACAACATATTTAGAGCAACATGGTAAGCTAGATGTTGAATTTTTTAAAGTCCTGCCCAGCCAGTCAGTGGCCATTTGGCTTTTTTTNGATCAGGTAGTGACAGTAGATCTGCAGTTTTATCACAGTTAAGGCAAATGGCTGATAGGTATTAGAGCAGAGGGCATGAATACAAACACATGATAGTTCTTTTTTTTTTTTCTGAGCAAAGAGATTCACCAACATATTACTAACAGATTTCACTCAAAAATTAACTTTCTGTGGGAGATTTTTTACTTGGTAGTTTTGATTTTTGATCATTAACTGTTTGTTGCCAGTAAAAAAAAAAAAAAAGAAAGCTATTACCAAAAGTGGCTAAAGTCCATGCTTACTGTTAATGACTGGATGGATATAAAACATATTATAAGACTTTAGGATATAAGACTTTACATGACCGTCAGAGGAAAGCGCTTAGTAAGGTCCTTGGTTATCTCTTTCGAATATGAATCTTTTAATTCAAAATTTGAAGTTCTCTTTGTGATTAATAAAGTATCTTTGAATTGTCTGCATTATGTCTGTGTTTCTTGCTATACTCCAACACTTTTCATTGTAAATAATACCGTGTCAGACTTTCCATTCTGTGCGATGTAAAATTACTGAAAAAGCCGATGTTGTCTTGATGACAAATATTTCCTCTATAATTAGGTGCTTTTTTCAAGTAAAATAAAATGATCAAAATTTAACCATACCAACCTAATTTCAAAATCTATGTTGGCCTCATAGGCCTGGTAGCTCTGGACTGGAAATGGTCCAAACTTAAAGCCCTGTTCCAGCAGTCGCTTTGCAGGCGCGATGAGACGAGGCATCGCCATCGTAATCCGCAAGAAATCCAGGCTGCGCTGCCCGTGGTAACCGTACATGCCTTCAGTCGAAACAAAAGAGAAGCTTTGAATTTCATTTTTACTAAGAGACATAAATACTCCCTTAATACAGGCTTGTTAATCTATTACGGCTTCCATTTCTTTACAAAATCCAGCTTTCTAAAGCCTGATTATGGTAGTTTATGATAAATACAGATCTCCCTTAAAACATGAATTCAATGCTCTTACTCTCTTTGCGGCAGATGTCCACAGCAAGCACCGTGATGGAGATATTGTCCTTATTGGAGCGCATGTCCTTAAGAACCACAGAGTTCAACTCTCTTTTAAATTCACCGAGGTAGTTAGATGAAAATCCTAATAAAAAGAGAAAAAAGAAAAATGAAAATGGAAATCCTGCAAGAGGGATTATACAGGTCACAATAATTTGCATCTAATAAGAATAAAATGAACCAAAGTTTGACAGCTCAGAAAAAATAATGTTTTTTTTGTTGCAAGCTTAAGCATGATATAAAATACAGTTTAACATAAAAATCCCAATTGAGTCTGGGGTAAAGTTCTCACCGCTTGGTGCAGGAACATAGAAGTAAGGCGCAAAGCCGTGAACATGACAGCACACACTGTTGCCGCTGTCAGTTACACCAAACATCCGAATGATTGGTACTTTTGCTTGTGATTGGCCTGGCATGCCAGCTACAGAGTTACCTGTAGGACAAAAAAAAAAAAAAAAAAACACAGTTATTTTCCATCATCTTACAGATCTTGGTCCACCTCTTCAGGTATTCTACAAACCCAACTTTTTTTCTCTATCTTTTATTTTTACAGACTGCATTATTTAGATTTATCTTTCATACTTGCCGAGGTAATAGTCTAGATCAATCTGCTGGAACACTAATGTTTCAGAGGATGGGTCCAGTGTGGGGGCATGAGGTCTCCTCCAACGTGGGTTTAGGTCTGCTGAGAAAAGGTCACCTGATGGGACAGGAAGGTAAGTCAGTATTTAGACCAAAATAAGTTAAACACAAGATCGCTAAATGCCAATGTGTGGTTAAAGAAATGTATTAAAAACCTCTGTATTTTTTAAGGCCCAACACTCACCAACAGGAATGACATCATGTCCTGCCTGTCCCTCCATGTCCTCCATATCCATCTCTGCCTCGTCAAACATCAACAATTCTTCCTCAAACTGGGATGGACTATCCTCCCATTCGCCATTCACTTTACCTCGCTTGGCTTGGGACGAACCTCCCATGGGAGGGCCACCATTACGGCGTTTAAACTCCATACCTGTAAGCGAAGGAATTCAAAACAAAAAGGCCATAAGTTAAAGGAATACAAATAGATTAGGGGCTGAATATACTTGACAAAAAATTTTAAATATAAATGTAAACTAATGTATTTCAAGGTAGAAATTACATAAGAAAACCTGTTTGAGGCGGACTATAAACTAGGGTTGTATACCTTGCATCGAGACATCAACACAAACCGTATAGCAAGAGCTACAATAGTTTACGTCAAATAATACTCAACTGTTAGTAGGGGTGCAAATAATAATCGTTTTGTATCGATGCATCGATCCAACAGCCGATGATCCAATGTATCGATACCTTCATAAGAGAATCGATTCGTGTTTTGTTTTTTTCCTCCGGTCGATTTTTAGCCATTTGCTCCTGGACGTAATTCTGACCCCCACGCTGCGGTGGCGCTAAACCTATTTTGCCCTCCTACCTCGCTTCCTTTAGCCACTACCCTCTTTCCGCTTGCACACACGCTTGTTACCATTTGCTGCTAGTGCACTTTTGCACTCATTGAACTGATTTTGTTGAGTATTGTTATTCTATAGTGAATGTAGTATAGGCCTATTTTTGTTACTTAATCTTCTAATGCACTTATGCATTAATTTCAGTATTTTTTTATGCAAGGCCTTTCAGAATCTATAACACAGAGGCATTATTATTTTTCAGTGAATGAGGTCTTCATAGGCATAGGTGGAGTACAGCTTTGCTACTTCTGTTATTTGCTGTCGTTTCTCAACTAATATGCAGAACGATATTACAGCTTTAACTGATTTATTTCAGATTTGAAACATTGTCTAGCCTGTAAGGTGTAAAAAAAAAAAAAATTAAGCAATTAATCAAATCGTATCCGGGTTGTATTCTTGAATGTCCAAAATAATCGAATCATTTGATCAGGAAATTGATGCGGAATCGAATCATGATGGGTGCGATTAACACCCCTAACTGTTAGGAATACATCTACAAAAAGAGTAATTTCTATTTAGGGAGGAAACAGTTAATTGGATGAATTGTGATTAATCGCCTATGGAAATAATCTTAAATTAATTTAGTAACTGGAGTATAGAGACTGGAAAACATTCCTTTAGCTGATAGAGCAATCCAATTAGAACAGTAATTATAGCAAAACAGTAAAACAAAATGTAAACATTTTGCATTTAAGATAAAAAAAAAAGTTTTAGTTTCAACATGTTCAATTTCTTAAAAAAAAGAAAATCTTTAAGGAACCTTTGGCTATCCGATTGTTAGTCAATTAATCGAAAAGATAATTGAGAGATTAATTGATTTGCTAAATAATTGTTAGTTTCAGCCCTAGTTCTATTAATCAAATGCATCACTTGGAAACTCTTGTTTACAAATGCTCACCAACCAAATCTAACAGAATCTGGGCCATTTTTGCAACAATAAAGGAAATATTAGTCTTTAGATGTGCTAAGCTGATCAGCAGACACCCCTAAAGGTTTGTGATTGCATCAAAAATGTTTTCAAAAAAGTTAAACCCTGGGGGGTTCAGATTGTGCAAGCTTTGAATTTTTTCAATCACAGAAAATCAAAATAAAGTGGGCTTTTTGGACAGTTTTAACATTACACTTTCAAGAGGTTTGAATACTTTTCCAAGGCACATGGTGGAAGTATCAACACGCTCAACACTTTAGGAAAGAACATCAAACGAAGCTAAAATGTGTTCAAGCAACTACGGCTACAACTAAAACGCAGCAGCAAATCAAAGAATACTTTTACATTATTTGCATATTCAGTAAAGAAAACCGAGGTAACGCGATGCCTCCGAATCGAGAGCATTCTTTACTTTATAGCGAGCAACAAAAGGGAGCTAGCAAACTCCGATATTAACACAAGAATGGTCTCGCGCTGCGACAGATCTTAATTACATAAAGGGTAACGCTGGATTAATCTACCAAATAATTATCGACAGCAGACACATTTGTAATGATATTATAATTACCTCTTAATCTTGCTCTTCCTCCAAAAGCCCCCTTCTGACACAAGCTCCCGCCACTCTGGTTTAATTCGCGAGATTTTAGCGTTGAAAGCGCGGAAAAATTTCCGCGTAGTCGCTGGGTCTGAAATTAAAGGAATAGACGACGACGTCACAGAAAAAGGCGGAAGTTGCACTGACTTCACAGCCGTCGCAGAGGAAGACAAACTAGACGTGACCTTGTAAAAAAAAAAATAGTCTCTTTTTCAATGTTACGTCACATCCCTCTCTTTCAATTTAATACGATTAAATAATTTGAAC